ACAGGAGAAGTTGGTTTTGCTACGTTAGCAACTAGTGTCTGAAGGCTGTAATTGCAGCAAATCCTTGGACCGGATAGAGGCCTAAGAACCTAATCTACCGCATTTTATTCCCCTTTTTGGCTAAAGGGTAGTTTATTGTTTTGCCCTGTAGAATCCCTGGTATCGGTCAGGGTCCATCATTCCTTTGAACTCTCGGACACGAGTTGGCAATGAATTTGTTTTGCACTATTTTTCATATTGATCCATCTAGCTGATTAGGCAGCAGCAATGACACGCTCAGTAATCGTGTCAAATAAGTAAAGCATAAGGATCAGGCTGCCAGCCCTGGTTTCAGGAAGGGTGCCACAAAAGGAAGAAGTAGCATCGTAAGCTAACTCAAGCGGGAAGGGGCCTCGGGAGGTTTCTAGACTTAACTTCCTGCCCAAAGCAGCTCAGAGCTCAGACCAGCTTAGTCAGGCCTTTATCCAGCCAAGTCTTGAAAAGCTGAAGACTGAAGAGCCTTCACAACCTTTTGAGGCAACTCGTTCCACTGCTTGACTGTATTCATGGTGGAAAAAAGTTTTCCTTCTATCCTGTTTGACCCTATTTTGTTTCAGCTTACACCCTTTTTCACTGGAAGAGCCTGGCTGTCATCCTGACAACCTCCTCGCAGGTATGGGCAGGCTGCTCATAGGTCCCTTGAAGCCTTCTCTTCTCCAAGCTGAACAAGCCCAGTTCCATCAGTCTGTTACTGTAAGACATGTAACTATAATGTAGTGCGGGGATGGTCGCCAGACTCTCATCTCAAGTGCTACATCCAGAAAGGAAATTATAAATGAAGAGAATGTCAAGCAGCTAAAGGTGGAAGACCACCACAGTCTGTAACAGGAAAGGACACTTAAAAAGAATTCTATCTGTGGGACAGTGCTACTGCTAACCTCACTGGCAAAGTTGTCCTTTTTCCCCTTGCTAATGTAACCTTGGATTTGTCATGTTGAAGGCAAATGCAGCTTACACTGTGTCCTTAAACATGCATGTAGATTTACTGTCTTCTATAGCCGCTTCTAAATGTGTAACTTGGTGGTATATACTCACCTTGTGTTTAAGAATCTGTGTAACACTGCAATGAATTAACACTGTATTTTTAGGTTTGAAAGTTTAATGTAAGTCATGTTAAATACTTCATTGTCAGAGCTTGAGTCTGCTTTCTTACGTGTTTATTACTAGCGTAACTCTACTGGAATGTTTTTTGATTCAGGTTAAATCATAGTCATTTTCAACACGTGTTTACCAGCGCTGGGTGAAGAACATAATGTGTGCACTTATCATTTCATATTCTGTATTGTTTGGATATTGTTATTGTTGTAAATTGTTGGGTGAGCACCACAGAATATTCACATATTGTTCTGAAGATTAAAGTTTGTAAGTCTTCAGTTTGGATAGTTCTGAAAACTTATTAAATTATATTTTATGGCCATGTACATCTGAATGTACCTCCTACTTCATGAACACTGTGGTTTTCTGAGTGAGTACCACATACTTTTTCATGTTTATAAGCTTCCACCGCATCACTTGGTAATTGGATAGTTGTAGGTGCATTGTGTTCCATTCTGCAGTTTTAGTTCCCCATCACTGCTTGTTCAATAGTTAACTGCTAAAGGTGACAATTCCTTTGAGACTGCTCTGAAAACATTGGTTTCTTCATCAAATGGCTGCATTTACAGCCTCTGACCTGTGGATCTCTTTTTTTTTTTTTTTTTTTTTTTTTACCCTGCAGAGGGTTCTCCCTTGGCAGATGTAGCTGAAAATGATTCTGGAGCTTGTTGTCCAGCATCCCCTCAAGAGAAGAGAAAAATATTTATATCCGACTTTTATTCCCTGTTTTTATTTAGTTACCTTCTGTTTAGAAGCATGACAGAAAAAAATATTTCATCTCTCACCAGCTTCCCATGATGACAAATTGCCTTTTTTACCCCTGCAAAGTTAGGGAATGTAGATCGCTTGATCCTACTCTCTCAAGGATAAAGTTACCCTATAGCTATTAGTATTTAGTCACTTTCCACTTACTAAGAACTTTTACTTTGGCTAGAGTTCAAGAAGCATAGTTTAGATTTGTGTGTAACTCCTAAATAATCACTCTGGCTGCTTCAAGGAAGAGTAATTTTTATTGTAGAGGGGAAGGGGGAGATTCAAATTAGTTAGTTTGACATTCAGAAGAGATATCCAGAAAAAGAACAAGGCACTTTAAGTTGAGCATAGTATGAGCTAATAATCTAGCGGAGAGTTTTATGAAGGACAGCAATAATTTTCTCTGTCAATAAGCTGCAGAAGTCTGTGAAAGCAGTGCAGTAATCTTTCAGCCACTGCCTTCTCCCCACAGCAGTATGCTGGGCGTCCAAGACATTTCACAATAGTGTCAGGGAGCAAGACATGAATATACATGAAAAACATCAAGCATGCAAACTCTTGCATGTAACTTGTTTTGGGATTTGCACTTCAACGCAGGCCCCTTTGAATACAGTTTGCATGTAGTTTTTACCTCAAATGGAGCGAAAGCCTCAGTGAGTACAACTGACACCAGTACAGTGAAGGTACAGTAACCTACTTTGCATCAACAGATAGGTTCCGTGTTTCATTCCCGTTATCATTTTACATACTTTGAAAAAAAGCCAACCAAGTGAGACAAAATTCATTAGAAAGCCAGCTTCAAGAGTTTTCTAAGCTATTTGAGGGCTGGTAACTCCAGACGATACTTGATGTTAATCCATTGTTTTCTTGTCTAGTATACTCGGGAAGTGAATATTCTATAACTTTGTGCAACTGACTGCGAATGCTGTGGCTTAAAAACTGATGCCTGCCGGGGTCACCAATCAGCACTTCAGTTTGCTGTATCCTGATGCATTTCCTCAGCCAGTGATGCAGACTGTCAGCAAGCTGTTCATCGTAAAACATGTCTCCTAGAACAATGAGGTCCCAGTTGCCGGCCTCTGAATTAATGATGTTCTTAATGGTGATGGGGAAGGGATTCATGTGGTTCAGTTCACAGTTCAAGATCATTGCCATTCCTGCAACTGAAGAAAAGTCAAAGTAAAATGAAAGTTACGTTTTAGGATTCTGCCATTCAGCCCCCTTACAAATTTCCTTGACGCATTTTTCAATTGCATCTCTTAAATATTTTTGTTTATCCTATCTAGGGACTTCCACAGTTTTCATTATGGGTCAAAATCTGGCAGAAAGTGATGGAATTTTATCCTCGTTGCACCATGACACAGAGAAGAACTATTCCTGGAATGGATACCAAGGGAAACGAATCACGGAATCAAACCAGAATATCTGACTGCCTTAATCTATGGATATACTTCCTCCTTAACTGATCAGTAACTAAATTACGAATAAATTGAATTCATAAGTCAATTATGGGAAAACAAAGTCTGGAGGAAAAAGGCAAAATCTAGTGGATTTTCCACTTCCATTTGGAATATGGAAGTGCAGGAAAATGCTATGGTCCTACAGAGAAGCCAACTTGCCGCCTACGCTTGGAGGTCTCTTCCAAACCAGCCATGACGGTGTATAGGCAACGCTTGATAGAAACTTTGCTGCTTGTTCATTCTAAGGAGCTATGGAGATATTCTCAGTGGAAGAGAGGCTGGTACAACCCAGCTCCTAATACTGGCAAAATCCATTCATCTTTTTAGCATTCTTAGAACTCTGTTTGGAACCTGAATTTCTCCCAAATGGAGCAAAGAAAAGTCTGTGTTAAATGTGCTTTAAAAATTAATAAATATCTTTCTTTACACAGAGATGAAAAAAAAAGGCCTCACTAGGGTCGATGTCATTAGCAAGGACTTGCGATGCACCACTCATCACAGCAGCTATTGCTGTTGCTCCACATCCGCTTCCAAGATCCAAAACCGATCGTCCTTTAACAATGCGTGGATTGTCTAAAATATACCTGAAAAGAAAAACTGTTAAAGTGATGAACAAGATTATGCAAATTTCTCAGTTTTGCGTTACACTGCATAAGAGTTCTTGTCATACATGTAATGAAGCGTGGTATCTTAAAAACACTCTTCCGCATGTGCAGCTGGTACATAGCTCCTTATTTGTCTCTGCTGATAGAAAAATCAAGAACCATCGTCTTTCTCCCTTACTTCTCCCCCACCCCCCAAACAAAAAGAAATCCAGCCAAGTAGGCAACATTTTATTTCAATCGGCTCCTTCTCTGACAGGTGAGCTTATCTAATAAATGGACACAAACTGCAAGGTGACTAAAATACTTGGCATCAGAAACTGGAAAGTAAGGATTTGCAGAAATTAAAAGCAATCTGACTGAAAAAACGTGAAGATGTATTTGCGGTGAATATTGTGCCCATCAAAAGACAGACAAGGCATACCCATTTCCCTAAAACACTGCTTATGCAACTGCTTGGAAGAAGAGGAACGTCTCCTCTTTCTGTTCCTGAGCCATGCAGACACAGATGCAAATACTTCTAAGTCAGCTTAATGTTGTTCCTGAGTAGCAACAAGAAAATGAGAATGGAGCAGCAGTGAGCAGAAAGAGTATCTTCATCTAGTTGCTGACACCTGCCAAGAGGAATCGGCAAGCAAAAACCTCTAGACTGGAAATGGAGAAGAACTGACAGGAGGCAAGCAGCGGTTATTGTTGAACGCTGCGAATCATATAGCCATTACTGACAGTTCAGAACTTCAACAATTGCCTTGAAATTCAATCTTCTGCAAGGGGGAAGGCCCTAAGTGACGGGGGGAAGAGCCCTACGTGACGTAAATTCCTGCAAGTTGCCATAAATTTACTACGAGTTGCCATAACTTCTGTTCAAGTAGAAACAGGAAAGGATTCTACATTTGTGTTGTCTTCTGGCATGGAGGGTGATGGCTGAGTCTTGACGCAGGGCTGCTGGTAAGCACAGCTTTTGCAGGTGGGTTCCAATGCAGAGAACTGTAATGGAAACGTTAAGATTGGTGTAAATGGGGAAGGGATGGATGGAAATATCTGGGCCTAGGAGCACCAGCA